GTGTGTGTGTGTGTGTGTGTGTGTGTGTGTGTGTGTGTGTGTGTGTGGTGTGTGTGCATGTGTGTGTCTGGGATAAAAGATATGTTGTTTTTCTATATAAGGCTATCAGTAATTCTAAAATAGTGTAGGTTGAGTTATTGTCACAGCCACTCCAGATGCAAGGCATGATCTTCTATACCTAAGATCCCAGATTTTCAGGACAGACTGGCAGAAGAACTGTCACATTAAAGCCAGTCTGAGTAAAACGGAAAGACCCTGTCTGACAAAGAAGTAGAAAGGGGATTGGTGAAGATATAGAGAGGGGAAGAAAGAAAATGAAAGAAGAGAATTAGAAAGGAAGGGAGGAAGGGAAATAGAGAAGAGTAGAGGAAAAACTGGAAAGAAAGAAAAGTAGAAGGGAGAAGAAGGAGAAGGAGAGAGAAGAAAATGAAAGAATCAGATTATATTACTCTTAAATTCTTGATATCTGCTTGGTTAGGGGTAATGAGTCATTTGAGCATTGTCATAGAAGTCTTCATGTTCCTTAAATCATGTGTTGGAACTCTGCTTGAACCTGGAAACCTGCATCCAAAGTCAGTGTTTGAAATGACTTCTTCATTTGAGGGAATGCTCCATATTTATCTGTAGCCATGCTTTTAATTATCAAAATCGTGTGTGTGTGTGTGTGTGTGTGTGTGTGTGTGTGTGTCTGTAGAAAATACATGGAAGTATGTTCATATGTATGTGGAGGCTAGTGATTTTCATCACCAGATGCCTTTGTCAGTCATTGTCAACATTATTTCTTTTTTTTTTTTTTGAGACAGAGTCTCTCACTGAACCCAGGGAACTTCAAATTGGCTATACTAACTGGCCCGTGAGCTCCAGGGATCCTCCTGGTTCTGCCCTTCACTAGATGGATTTCAAGTGCCTGAGTGCAATGCCTAGGCTTTTACATGAGTTCTTGGCATCAGAATTCACGTCTTCTTACCTCTGTGGCATACTTTATCGACAAAGTCATCTCCAACCTTTCTGTTGCTTTTCTATGTAAAATCAGATACTATGCCCCAGGCATGATGGCTTGCCCAATAGTTTGGATCAACAGCCAAAAGAAGCCTGGTAAGTTGAGGCTAGTCTTTTCTACATAGAATGCTCCAAACTAACAAGATGTGGAGAGGCATTGTTTAAAAACAAACAAAAAACAAAACAAAACAAAAAACCCCACTAACAACAACAATAAAATGATGGCCATAGGAATGAGTATTTGAATAACTTTTACTCCTATAGGAAGCATATAAATGATGCATTCAGTGAATCCTAAATCCCAATAATCCCAAATTACATGTATGGTGACTTTCTACTTTAATCTTAGGAACCTAGAAGCAGAATAAGGCAGATGTATTCAAGGCAGTCTGGACTATTTAGTGATTTTCAGACAAGCTAGGGCTACATAGCTTTTCAAGAATTAAAGAAAAGAAGGAAGGAAGGAAAAACGAAAGAAAGAAAGAAAGAAAGAAAGAAAGAAAGAAAGAAAGAAAGGGTATGTCTTTTCCTTATCTGGTTTCATTTGATGGTAGGAGGAAGGAAGGAAGTTAGGAAGGAAGGAAGGAAAAAAGGAAGGAAGGAAGGAAGAAGGAAGGGAGGGAGGGAGGGAGGGAGGGAGGGAGGGAGGGAGGGAGGAAGGAAGGAAAGAAAGAAAGAAAGAAAGAAAGAAAGAAAGAAAGAAAGAAAGAAAGAAGCTATGTCTCTTCCCTATCTGTTTTCGTTTGATGGTAGGTACTCCAGGAACCTAAGGCCTTGAACAAGCTGCTTGTTCCTATCAGGCTTCTTTATATACACACACCCGATTCTGTCATGGTTTAAAGATGTGATTTACCCAACCACTGTTAAAGCCTTGAAAGTTCAAAGCTCAACATTTGCCTACATGAAGCATGAAATTCAGATGTAAAATTTTAGTTGTCATGAACCAAAAGAATATTTTCCTTTTTGGTTATGAATTGGTTCAATTAATCTTATCTGAATTTTTACAAAAGCCCTGTTTTAGGAGCCTCTTGACATGTTATCTAGCCCTAGGTGGTCAGCCCTAAAAATAAGCAATAAAAAATGGGTTTTCTGGCTATATACACACATATGTACACATGCAATCACACACACACACACACACACACACACACACACACACACACACACAACTTTAGTGTTCTAAAAGTCCAACTTCCAAGTCGCTACCCAGGGTAACTCAGAAGACTTCTCCTGAATGAGGATTTAAAGATTTCTACAGTAACTTCTCACATGATCTGAGAGTCATTCACTTTTTTTATTCTGCAGTTCCAATTCCCTTGCTCTAATAGTCTCTAATTCTCTTTAACTCCAATTCTCTGTTTTAGTACTTCTTCACTTCTTTATTCACCTAGCTTAAATACATTTTTTATAGGAGGCTTGAAGAAATAAGAAAAAAGTTATAAGAATTACATCTCATTGGTCATAGCACATTCCGTGAGTAAACGATGAGAACAGAGGCATTTACCATGGAAGCACAAGCTTTCAAGGTTTCTGGTGAAAGACTCAGGCCAGGGGCACAGTGATCAGTGAGACAAGCTGCGAGACATAGCCTTTATCAGCCAGACTCGGAATGTAAGCAATTGTCATTTTTTGGGTTGCTATGTGTTAATAACCTGACAACTGTAACTTTGTCCTTTTGCATATTTGTAAAGTTTTAAATTTATGATCTGTTTACAAAAAGAGTTTGTAACTGGTTCTGAGGCAAAGATGAGCTAATTTTGTGTAGTTTGTTTTAGATTAGGGAGAAATTGTTGTTTTCTTGTGTTACTGTTACTCTGAGTAAAAGAAACAAAGCAGGCCTTTAAGTGACAATAATCCTTGTGAGACAATAGATCTAATTATGAAACAAATCCTAGTATATTTACTAGATACCCAAATTATAGAGTTAATGAGAAGTCATCTTCCTGACCATCCACAGATATATGTGCCCATAAGTTTGAGCTGTAATCATGAGATTACACATACATATCATATGACATTACATACTACAGTGCAGGTATTAGGAAATACCATACCTGCTTTAGCAAATGTAAAATTACAGACAGGAGCAACAGTGTTCAGAGTTGGTGGCCCTGTAAACCCTGCCTGGATGGGATTCTCCTCCAACACAAAATCATTTCTCTTGTGGTTTGACATCTAAACACTAGTTGTCACTGTTGTAATTCTCAAAGCCTCTGACATGTAACAATAATTATATAAAAGGGGGTCATGAACTTTAGATGAGTAGGGGAGCATGGAAAAAGAAGGGGTGAAGGGGGCTAAAATGATACAAATATGGTTCTCAACTATGAAATTATCAAAAAGTTTTATTTAAACTCCAAATAATACCTTTCTTCACAGTTTCAAAACTTGTCCTAAATTAGTTCTGTGTCCTTTACTATAGCTAAATGTCTACTTTTTGCATATTGAAAACATTGGACATTTTCCTATGTAGTAT